TTTCCATCTCCTAGTAGGAGAATAAGATAACTCTAGGCTGAACTACTAAGAACATTGTAGAGTTTAATGCACTGAGTTCTACTCTGTATTACCGCGTGAGCCAAATTTAGTCATCGGGACTCAACATTTTCAAACCTGGGTTGGATTGCTAGTTCTATTAAAAATAATGAAAAAAAAAAAAAATCTCTTGATGAAACTGTGGCCAGTTATTTTTTTATCCCTTGCTACACTTGTTTATTTGTGGATATAATTTATGCCAAACAGATTAAATACTTAATTTATATGCATAAAGTTCTCAATGCCCTAAATTATTCCTTAAAGGACTGCTGTTTCAAAACAGCAAAAGGAAGCCTGGTTAAGTCCCAGATAAAACTATAGCCTTCAAGGTGGATTTGATTCAAATCAAATAGATTTAAATCACTAGTTAGGTTAATTTTGTCACTGTTTTCCATAAAAAAGTGCATTCTTGTTGTTCAATATCCTCTATTCATTTAACTTCAAACTTTGCATTTTTAGAGAGAGGTAAGGGCTTGACTCTGTGTACACAAGTTTTCAGAGAGACGACAGTGCTGATGGGTAGGTAATCAGGTCTGTTATCTCATCTCCATATACTGCTGTTAACGAGGATGTTATCTCTGGAGACAGAAATCCACAGCTTGAGAACTGAAATTAAGCATCACAGAGAAGCTTAATGGGAACTTCTAGGGCAGTGATTCTCAACCTTTTTTGTATCAGGACCCATTTGTAAACATCAATGGCCAGTCCTCACCCAGGGCCCCTCACTCCCCACCCACTGCCCCCCAACCCCTGGGCTCCAGCCCCCCAGTGTGGGGCATGGGGGGCCCCCAGGCAGCCCCTCAAAGACTAGAAACTTGCCAGCCTGAAAGGGAAAAGCCATGGTTTCCCACATTTTTCTCCTCTAAAGGAGAATCCATTTTTTCAAGTTTGTTCGTGACCCTTTCATACATCGTTGCGATCCACACTTTTGGGTCGAGACCCACAGGTTGAGAAATGCTGTTCTGTACTGAGCACTGAATCCCACTGGGTAGAGTGGTTTTCTTTAATCTTTATTAATCTATAGAAAAGCCTCTGGGAACCCCATAAGATTGGGCCCCTAATATAATCCATGACCTGCTGTGACCTATTTATAAAACTTTTCTTAAAAGTTTACATGAATATATTGTCTAAAATAGTACATAATTAGAAGTTCCATGATGATATCTTTGAGCTTTAACATATCTTAAATTAAAACTTTCTTTATATAGGTTTATTTTTTTTTAAAAGCATCTTGACCAACAAATAAAAAAATATGATTAAATAAAAAAATATTTAAAATTTTTAAAAATCCAATTTTATTTATTTTTTTTGAATCATTGATTTTTATCCACCCTGACAACCCTACAATTGATCTTCACCACGCAGGTAATTCTGATAAGATTCTGTTCAGCATCCAAGTAGAAAACAGACCTGTTGATATTTACTGAGGTAACAAAGGCAACAGAAGTGAGCTGTCAATACAAAGGCTTAAAACCTGTGCGTACTAGCTAATCTGGAGCTGCTCTCTCGAAACAGGATGAATTAATCGGGCTGCTCTTACTCTTGGAAACATTCAACTGTTGCCAAGAAACCAGAGCACATTGGTGGTTTGAAGTAGCACTTCTTTCCCCCCACTTCTCTGCTCAGTTGTGAGAAGAGGGACATGATCTAACACAAGCTGGTTCCCTTTCTCAAGATAAACCAGGCCAGCAAGACCATTTATTGACATTTTCAGACAAAAACATATTGTATGTCTTGATGCCTTTCTACCTTGTTTTTCATTTAACTTTTATGATTTTAACTTTAATTGTGTGACTATTTTTAGCAATATTTGGATTTTCCATCGCATCATACATGAGGAAATCAAAACGTCTGGGAGTTTTTATCCACATCCCAGAAGGATTCCAAGGTGTACTCTTCAGATGGAAAAATAAGAATGTAAGAGCCTCATTTTCAATGACGGTTGGTACCTACAGCTCCAATTAACTTTAGTTAGCAGATGCGTCAAAGAGCAGGGGTGCTCAACCTTTAGTCCACAGGCCAGATCCAGCCCCTAGTGCTGTGTCACTTGGCTCTGGCACCCCCCACAAATCTGTGGGGAGCCCCACGGGTCTGCACACAGTGCAGGAAGGTGCAGGACTCCCACAACCTAGGCCTGGCAGGAGAGGCACTAGGTGAGTGGGGCCCCCACATTCTGCAACCCACCACCACTTACCCTTCACTTGCAGTTCTAGCTGGGACCCTGCTCTGGCCCAGGGCAGGGAATATGAAGCATGCATTGCCTCTGGCCCCAGCCAAGTCATACAGCAGTGGTCGTAGCTCTGACCTGAAGCTGCCACTGCATAGCTGGGCTAGGTCCAGAGGCAGCAATATGTGTACTTCCTTCACCCAGATGCAGCATGGCCCCAGCCACAGTCAGAGCTACAAGGGGAAGGTAAGTGGGAGAGAGGTGCAGGGGGCACACGCCAGGGGATGCAAGCACTATGGGCATGGACAGGCAAGCAGGGGAGGCAGGCAGGCAGTCTAAGCACCACAGGAGTAAGCATGGGACAGGCAGGAGGCAGGCCAACTGACTTCCCTGTGGTCTGCCCCACCACCACCTGCCTCCCTGCAGCAGTGTGGGGGATAAATACATGAGAACCCTACAAAAATTAGATTCCAGATATGGAAAATTGTAACAAATTTATAAAATTTGCATGTCTAAAATCTAATTATGGGGGGATAGGGGCTGTCTTAAATCCAGAGTCATCCTGGATTTGGGTAAATATAGTAATAACTAATACAACATTCTTCAACCAACAGAATCCCAAAGCATGTGTCTAGTGGTCAGAGAAGTAATTGAAAATAGAGGTCTGGGCTATATTCTGGGTCTCCCACCACCTTGACTAAATAATCACATTCTTTGCCTCAGTTTCTCCACTTGTAAAACTAACCTGTTTAACAATTTCTTTGCCTCCATTTTTCTGAGTAGGGACCTGGTCATCCCATAGGCCCCGTGGGAGGCGCACCCAAGCCTAGGGTCATCGAGGACCTAGTCAGAGAGCTTCTGGAGGGACTGGACGTATTTAAAATCAGCAAGTCCTGACAACCTCCACCCCAGAGTGCCGAGGGAACTAGCAGAGGTTATTGCAGGACCTCTGGCATGACTTTACGAGCATGCATGGTGCTCTGGCAATGTGCTGGAGGACTGGAAAAGGGCCAATGTGGTTCCCATTTTCAAAAAAGGGAGGAAGGAGGACCCAGGAAACTATAGGTCCGTTAGTCTTACCTCGATCCTGGGGAAGCTTTCTGAGAAAGTGTTCCTGGCGTATGTCCACGAGGGGCCAGCAGGGGAGACCATGCTTAGGGGCAACCAACACGGGTTCATTAGAGGCAGGTCCTGTCAGACCAACCTGGTGGCCTTCTACAACCAGGTAACCAAATCCCTGGATGCAGGTGTCGCAATGGATATAGTCTTTCTGGACTTTAGGAAGGCCTTCGACACAGTTTCTCACCCCATTCTCATTAAAAAACTAGGAGACTGTGGTGTCAATGCCTACACAGTCAGATGGGTCACTAACTGGCTAGAGGGCCGCACCCAGAGAGTGGTGGTGGACGGGTCTTATTCGACCTGGAGGGATGTGGGCAGTGGGGTTCCGCAGGGCTTGGTCCTCAGGCCCGCACTGTTCAACATCTTCATTAGCGACTTGGACAAAGGGGTAAAATGCACCCTGTTCAAATCTGCAGGTGACAGCAAGATGTGGAGTGAAGTGGGCATGCTAGAAGGAAGGAATAGGCTGCAATTGGATCTGGACAGGCTACAGGGGTGGGCAGATGAGAACAGGATGGGTTTCAACACTGACAAGTGCAGAGTACTGCACCTGGGGAGGAAGAACCAGCAGCAGACCTACATGCTGGGGAACTCCCTTCACATCAGCGCAGAGGCAGAGAAGGATCTTGGAGTCATTACTGAGGCCAATATGAACATGGGCCGACAGTGTGGGGACGCGGTCAGGAAGGCCAACCGTACCTTGTCATGCATCCACAGATGCATCACAAGCAGGTCCAAGGAGGTGATCCTCCCCCTCTATGCAGCACTGGTCAGGCCGCAGTTTGAGTACTACGTCCAGTTCTGGGCACCGCACTTCAGGAGGGATGTGGACAACGTGGAGAGGGTCCAGAGGAGGGCCACCTGCATGATCAGAGGTCAGCAGGGCAGGCCCTACGAGGAGAGGCTAAGGGACCTGAACCTGTTCAGCCTCCATAAGAGAAGGCTGAGGGGGTGGGATCTAGTGGCTGTTTACAAACTAGTCAATGGGGACCAGCAGGCATTGGGAGAGTCCCTGTTCCCCCGAGCACTCCCAGGAGTGACAAGAAATAACGGTCACAAGCTGGCAGATAGTAGATTCAGGCTAGATATCAGGAGGCATTACTTCATTGTCAGGGCGGCTAGGATCTGGAAACAACTTCCAAGAAAAGTGGTGCTGGTTCCTACCCTGGGGGTCTTTAAAAGGAGGCTGGATGAACACCTGGTGGGGGTCATCTGACCCCAGTACTCTTTCCTGCCACAGTAGGGGGTCGGACTTGATGATCTGCTCAGGTCTCTTCCGACCCTACCAACTATGAAACTTTTCTACAGAACGGAGACACTAGGATGTGACGCACTAAACAAGGACTCTTTGCCCAAACAGAAACACAAGCAAAATTTTAGATAGAATATAATAATCAGCATTGGAATTTGGCCAGTGCAGTTCAGCCTTGGTGCCTACTGAATCAGTAGCTTAAGTTTCAAAGCTTCCAACGTAGTGGCAATTGCAATGTGCAGCTGAATGCCTGGCTAAACCCATTCTCTTACCTTAAAATTAGACTACTGTGTGATTAAGTCACATATCTTTAGTTTTTTTGCCATGAGAGAAAAGAGCAAGCTTTGATCAGGTTTCTTTGGTAAGATGTTCAAGACTCCCCCCTGTATTTTGGGATATGTACATTGTTTAAAAAAAAAAAATCTGACAAGAAAACTCTATAAAAGAAAAGTGTGTTTTCCTGGGGCATGTGGATACTAAATTCCTTTGTAGAGACAGCTATCTTGATTAACTTAAGCCTCTAGGTCTTTAGAAATATCAGTTGAGACGCATCATACTTTGTGACTGGTTCTCTCAGGAAATTCTCTTTCAACATTTTGTGTTTATCTTTTCCCCATTACTTCAGTTAAATTGTCACTAGAGTGACATTTACTAGAACCTTCATTTCCAAAATGTCTTTACTGGAGCCTTCAAAGGGCATGATTCAGTTAATTCTTCCCTCGTTGCCACAACAACACAGAAGAGAGCTTTTACAAACAGGAAAACCCCACTGAGGTGAAACAACAGAGAGAAGACTGGAGAAATCTGAAAGGGATAGAAATTGCGGGGCATGGTCCACTGCAGAATCTGAGGCCCTTTGGCCCTGCTGGCCTGGTTACTGTTCAACTTGTCTCACCACCACCACTCCTAAATCCATCCCACCACATGGAGGGATCAGGTCCCCAGATCCCTCCCCATATTCAGGCTCATGCTTGCCACTGGACCCCTGTCCACCGCCCCTGCAGCCACAGAGGCCACCCCTGTGCTCCAGGCTAAACTGGGTCCATGAGGAGCCCTGAGGTCTGGATCTGGCCCAGGGCCACAGGTGAGTTTGACATTCCTATTTTAAACTAGACAATTTGTTCCACAATATTTTAAATGCCTTTTAGGGGAAAGCATGGTTATCTTCAAAGGTAACTTACAGTTTTACTTGCAAGTTACCTGTCAACCTTTTTTAATTATTTCAGAAAAGTTCAAGCAGGCAAGAAAAATAAATCTCACTTGATTCTCAATTAGGATGTTCCTGGGTGCCTTAAACATCCTAATTAGCTTTTTGTGATCTAATCTTCCACATGCTTTTTAACATGGGGGGAGGGGACTTCTACAAAAGAGAAACAACATACTCATCTACATATTGATGCCACAAGTTTAGGCATCAATCCTGACAAGTCATACATATAGATGTAAGCATAACAGTTGTCCTGTTAAAAATTCAGTGCAACTGCTTACTGATTCAGAGTTAAGCATGGGCATAAGTGTTTGCAGGGCTGGAGTTTTGGGTCCTTATATGAGATACTAAGTGATATTTTAAATTGTTGTTAGTGAATGCTTACTGGATACATAAAACAATTTTGTAGGCAGGATAACATGTTTGTTATAATTGAGCTATTTATTCATGTTGTTTTTTCATCATTTAACAAATTGTGATGGTTATAACTCAACTTTACAGGAACTTGATTTTTTTTCTTTTATTTAACTCTTCCTGGGTCTTTCTTAATCCTTAGGAGTAATTTAAATAAAGAGGTTAGGGGGTTAAAAATAAACTCATCACCAAGAGAGAAATAAATATTCCTCTTAAGTCTTTTTCTCCAGGAAATTCCACTTCATTAGTGGACTAGTACAGAGATGTTATAATTAGGCATTACAATCCCAAAATTATAAATACAAAATTCAAGTTGCACTTAAAAAGCCAAGCATGATCTGGTAAGACATGTACAGCAGTGAAGACACCCAGCTTTGCCCTGAACTGACATCTTACAACAGCCATATGATTCTTGTTTAAACATTTTAGCATTTGTAGTCCCAGACTAAGCAGTTTTAAACAATTTTTGTTCCATATTTTCACTCCCTCATGGCATCATTTCCTGAGTTTGAAATGCTTGGTTACATCATCTGTACAGCGTTTTCTGCTCCAAGTTACTGATCCATTCCCTTTATCTCAATCCTGTAAAGATTCAATTTCTGATCTAGGTATTCTTCCAGGCATTATTTTTTATGTTCATACATGAATACACTAAACAAGAATGATATTATTTGATACTTCTAAAGATTTGAAGATTTATTTATTTTTATTTTTTTTAACATCACTTGATTTTTAAGAAACAGATTTGCCACTACATAAATACAAACAGAACATGTTGGATGGTTAAACTGGTGTTACAGCTTTTTACATCAGAACAGCCAAGTGTCCTGGTGACTGTGGTCCTCAATTTGAAACTCATTTTGCTACACAGCTTTGAATGTGAAGAACCCCAGCCCCAAGTCCCAGTGGTCACATCTAGGGGACAAGTTCACAGTGCCCAGCAGTGCTTCCCTCAACATGCTTCATGGCGCTACAGCACTGGTTTTCAACCTTTGTGGACTCAAGGTGCCCTGTCATAAGTTTTGTGAATGGGGTGGCACCCAATTTAAAAAACTAAGTTGTGTATTACACTGCTTACCTCCTTCTACAGGGGCAAGACAGTAGGGGTGGGGAAGTCATCCACGCAGGGACACCCTGAGCCTAATTTATCTGCTTAGCTTATCTCCTCATAACTCACAGCAGCCTTCAAAGGACCTGGTGATCCATGATCCCCACGCTGAGAATCACTATGCTATAGGTATGGACCAGCAGCAGCATGGCAGTATCCACATGGTATGTGTGTGGGTAGGATGGGGGAGGGCGGGCCACTAATTAGTACCATTGACAGTTTTTGCCAATTAGCTGCCCACACTTTGATGTGGACTTTGCAATGTACGTGTAGCATGTTTGAGTGTGTCACTGCCAGGCACAGTAAAACTGTGCTCCAAACAGGGCCAATGCTTAATGTGCTTGGAGGACTTCCCCATTAGCCTTGCTTCAGTTATACCTCAGCACTTGGCTGAGACAAGGCAACGGTGTCATCCAAAGGCTTTGAAGCACTGATGTCCAAACTTGTGCCACAGGTCATCTGAAAAGCAGTGATGGCTGAGACAAATAAACCACTCTTAACATGTACCCAGCACCTCCCAGCCACAACGTCATTATACAAAAGCAAGCATGAAATGCAGGAGTGACCTAACTACCCATAACCTCCCCAGGCTCTAGTGTTCAACTGTCCCAAACCACTGGCCTAAACTGATTTGCAGCCAAAATAAATCACACATGTTGGATACAATAATCCATTTGCAACTCACTGGCATCTTATCTTCTTCAAATACCCCCTGCTCACCAGTTCTGAACTGATTGCAACCGGAGCGCTTAGAGAGCCGGCACAATTGCCCAGCCAAGCACAACCAGAACATACCAACAAGCAGAGACCCTGCGTTACTTAAAGGTTCGCCCTTTAAAGATTAAGCTCTAATCAATGCATTTACCAGCCAATTCCCAATAACCTGCGTTCCCAGGTCTGGGGTTGCTCAGCAATACTTCTCTGAGAAAATCTGGAATGGACGCAGGGGGGGGGAAAGAGGGCAAGGAGGTCTGCTGGACAAGCGCCTTGTTGGGGTTACAGGACCCCAGGTGTCTTTCCTGCCCAGAGCAGGGGGGCTGGCCCCGATGACCTCATGAGCTCCCCTGCAGCCCTAAACATCTGCGAAAGTGTGTAAAAGGGGCAACGAATCTTTTCATACCGATCCGGTGGCTGGGATGCAGCTACGCTGGCAGCCTGGCCTCCTGCGAGGACCAGGCAACACACACAGGCACGAGGCCTTCAGACCTGTAAACCAGGGATGCTTTTATGGCTGGGAAAGCAAAACCCTCCTGCTTGCAGAGTATCTACAGAGAGAAGCCGCACGTGTCCGTGTCCGTCCCGCCCCCGGGGGCTGCTCTGCACGCTCCTGTGCATCCTCCCGCCCACGTGCCGGCCCCCCCGGCCCGCTGCTCCCGCGCAGAGCCG